TTTCTAAAAGGAAGTTCGTTCGATATTACATGAAACGTATTCTGTAATAACTAATCGATAAAATTATCATAAGTAATATTTTCTGTATAGAATAAAATGAACATTCATTATGTGTACATGTGTGACGTTTAAATCTTTGATATAAATCTTTATATGATTAAGTGTTTTAAGAAAAGCAAGTATATAGAAAGGTTCAAAAATGACATGATTTAACGTAACTGCGAACAATTTTCATTCGATATTTTAAAAATTGATTCAATAATTTAATGAAACTTAATCAAGATTTTCTTTTTGTTTTTGCATAAAATATGAATTTTTGCAGTGTAGTTGGAATTGAAAAGACTATGGTTTAAAAATGTTTGATACTTATATCGAAAGATAAAAGAACCCTGTATACATCCTTTTACTTATCCACTAACTCGATCGCTCTATCGAATCAGGAAAAATAAGGCCCGTTGAAGATATCTATGATCAGTATTGGCAAACGATTTATCAGGATATTTTTCACGAGAGAGAGAAAGATAGAAGTATAAGAAACCCCGAAAATGGTATCTAGGTCGAACCTGGGTTTCGTCTAGGTCGAACGAGTTCGCCTTCAGGACGAACATTTTAGGTAGACATACGTAAGTACAAGTTAAAAGAAAAATAACCATTAAATCAAATATATCTTATATAAAATATATATCTTCTCATAAATTATTATCCTTTGAATTCTTATCTAGAGAGGTTAACTAATAAGTAACTTTGGATAATTTAATATTGTTTAATATAATATCGCTATTTTTTTTATCAAAATTAGAAATTTTCTTTTTGATATTTATTGGATTAGTATTTTAAAATGTTTGTAATAAATATAATTATTTTGTAATATTTTAAATGAATGACTGTAAGTATTTATAATAAAATATTTTTACATATAAAATATTTATACAATACATCTCGAGACAACTTATATTACAAAATATTTCATAATATTGATCATGTGTATAAAAACATTGGAGATATTTTATGTCTAAATAAATAATACCATATTGTTATATTAGTGTATTATAAAATTTCTTGATACCTTGTATCCAAATGATACTGCATAGGTGTTTTTTTGTAAAATATTTATACAGTACTATATAAAAATAAATAGAGAATATTTTCTCTTCAAAATTTTTATCATATATTTAATATCAGTGTATGAATAAGACTAATATTTTATATACCAAAAATTTCAAAATGACTTATTAATCAATCCAAATATTCGTCTTTTCTCAAATTTTCTATACTTCTCTAATAATAGGAAAAACATTGATATATTTTTAATATTTTTCGTTAATAATTTAATGAAAATATTACAATATGTCTTTACAAAAATTGAGGAAAATAAGGATGAAAATTTAAAACTTTGTTTAGTCTCAAAAAATTTCCATAGATTTTGTTTTTATAACACAAAGAAAAAAATACTGTTTTCTATCAAGGAGAATAAAAAGAGTTAGTAGCGTTACAGAAAACGTCTTTATCGGTAAACTTTCTAACATCCAGACTTTGGAGAAGAAGCTGCTATTCGTAATTTATCATTTTCCATAAATAATCGAGCTAGGATGCATTAATATCACGACACGATTCTCATACTTTTTACACTAAGAAACTTGATTTCATCTTGATCGATTTACCTTCATGGTGTTACGAAACTTTGAATTTACTATAAAAATAAAGATACAGAAAAAGAAGAAAAACTATATAGGCAAGTACATCTAAGATGATATTGTATACATGAAACCATTTTTTTGTTGACACGAACGTGTATATGTTTGTTAGTGTGTGTGTGAGTGAATGTGTGCATGTGTGTGTGACAAAATATATCATTTCTTAGAAATATGAAATCGATTTATGGATCGTATGATTCACGTTTGGCTAGTGAATAAATATTTTATTTATATAAACCGAAATGTATTAAAAATGAGCTACCTACCTGTATAGCTAAATATAGTAACTCAGAGCATGCTTAGAGATGATACATAAGTATGTCTCTATGTTTATATATACGTAAATATGTAATATTTGTATATATTAAGTAACACGTTTGAAATGAATTCCTTCTTGGAGTTTCGATCGATCCAGGAAAGGCCATCCATCTAAAGTGATTCTTCATCATTTGATACGAATTCAGTGAGCATGCGATATCAAATGATGCAAAAGGCGCGGTGTTATGTACGTAAACATTTCGGATCAGTGGCGCGTAACTCTTTTAAAAAGCCGATGCTTATCGAAGGGGAATGAAAATTTGCATTTAATTTTCACGATCATCCACTGGCAAAATAATCTCACATATTTGTTTCGTGATATTTCATTGTTACGAGATTAAGTAGAATTTTTTTTCACGCTGCATTGATCCGGAAAAAAAATAAAAATAACAATTAGAGTATATATCAATGTTATTATTTTTATTATTATACGATACGATAAGTGTACCAATAATTATAAAAATTACTCAAGTTAAATATTATTTATTGTTTCCAGATATTTAAAAAATTACGTTTGAATATTATAAATGAATTTTATATAATGAAATAACAAGCACTATCTGATGGTTCATTGTTAACACAATATCGTAAAAATTATAATGAATTAAAATTTTGACTTACATTGCACTACTTTCATAATTATAGGTAAAAGTAACGTTTCAACGCGATAAGAATAAAATACAAGAAAAGGGTTGGATAAGGGTCAACAAATATGACGTATGTACTTTAAACGTTGATCTACAGGTTGGCATATTGCTTTTTAATACGAACTTACATATATAAGAAGTTTTCAACTTTCATGAATTACGAGTTCCTCATAAATATGTTAAAGATAAGGACGGACAAGCCATTGTCGAATGCGTCTCGGTCACGTTTAACGATTGGTCTTTACGAGGCCTATAAAAGCAAAACGTATTTCGATTTTCTGTCTTCTCCTCTCCTACCACTGACCCTTTCTTTCCACTCCATGCCGTGCAGCGAATCGATCTTTTTAATGTTGAACAAAGTTCTCTTTTGCAATCACATAAACACACACACACACTCTTACATACACATATATATATTTTTTATCGATCTTATTATATCTAATAATTAATTAAATAAAGTAGAAGTTGGAATAATTCTTTTTTTTCAAATTTAATTAACAATAATCGAATTATAATGCATATCTATGTGTGTGTATGTAATATTATTTATGTAAACGTTTAATCCCTCAGTAATGCTTATAGGAAAGAATTATTTAAATCCAGTTTAACCCTGAAACGATCTATATATATATTTTTCTTTTACGTAATTCACGTGTTGGTAGTATGTAGTAGAAATGGTCGTGATACAAATTACTACTACCAGTCACAACATTTGACGCTTGATGTTTACCAAGAGAATTTATGGCTTGGCATTCTACCGACGGAAAGTTTCTAATAAATCAATCGACTTTACGAATTGCAAAGAGCCTACACACGCGAGCTATTTAACGATCTTTACGAATTTATGAATGGAAATGAACGAAATGCTTGAAGATATTTTATTTGATTAATTTCTCAGTACGTATGTAAATACGTATGTATATTAGTAACAAGCGATTAAGATATTATGGTTTAGAAATCATAAATTTCATAATATTAAACAAAAAAATATATGTACACGTAATTATACCAGTAGATTAAATTAAAAAAAGGATAAAAAAAATTTAATTCATATTTAATTAATGTAAATTTTAAAATAAATTATAAAACTAATTTTATGTGTAGAATTTATTCTGAATTTTTAGTTCACTGTTATAATTACTGGTACACATATGAGTATATACATTTATATATTATTTAAAAAAAAAAAGAGAAAATACTATATAAGTATTTTCGTTTGAAAATGAAAACAATTAATTTCCTACAATTTGGTATAAAAAAAAGAGCACTCGAAAAGCGTGTAGAAAAGAAAATAAGAGAATACAAAGTAATACACAACTGTGTTGCAAATAAATCGATAACTTTCTACAGTTAACAACACTCAATTCGAATAAGAAAAAGCGCGAACTTTTGTTTTAATTCTTCAACGATATAAAATATACTTTCTTATACACAATGTTGTGAAAAATGATTTTTAAAGAAAGTACAATATTATACAATACATATACAGTACAATATATATACCAACTTCGTTGATGCAGTATAGAAAATAAAACTAACGAAATAGAAAAATTAAATGAATAGAAAAAAGAAAGGAGACATATATTAAAAAAAAAGAAAAGAAAAGAAAAAAAAGAAAACAACTAACAAATGCACTCGACGAAAGAAAATCCTTTCACCGTTGATCTCTCGCATGAAGCTCGTGTTTCGACGAGCTTCAAAGTCGCGGTTGAACTATTTAATCCACGTGTTGCGAACGGCAATATCGTTCTAAATATCGTAGGAATCTTCCTTATCGTCATTTGCGAGTTTGCTGCATTCTCGTTGAGAATCTTCAAAACTACGTGACTAGATATTTTCTAATGTTTATCTTCAACTACCGTTGGTAAGGAAGATTTCTACTTAGTACATGTTTACAGTTATAACGAGAATCCACCAAGATATCGGATGTTGGAAATCGTTCAAAGAAGTTTCTATTCGATTTTGAGAAAAATCCTTGCAGATGGCGAGCATTTCTTAGTTCAATGCGCATGCGCATTAAGATAAGCGCGAAAAAATGTCTATCGTTCAACTTGTTTTGGTTACGTATATTATTAAGAAAGACAAAAAATAATCAACCTCTTCGGGGCTTTTAATTTCCTAAGTTAAATTATTTGAATTTTTTAGATATTTATGTATATATTTTATTTGAAATTATTTTTCTAAATTTAAAAATATGAGTTGTTCCTTTTTATTTACTATAATAAAAAAAATTTCTTTGATATTATTAAATAGAACAAATTTGATTTTATACAGATGAAGACATTTTTTGAATAAAAATATGAATTAGTAAATCATATTTATGTATAAATGATGATCCTACCTTGTTCAATGTTTCATGGCTCGTAAGGATGTGTTGAGTAGTGGAATCAGGATGAATAATACGTTCAATTGAATTTGGTCTAGGAACTCCATCCAATTGGGTTGTTTCTTTCACCTGTGGCGGTGACGGTGGTGGTGGTAATTGTTCCTCCACACCCCCAGTATTGTATCGTGTTTTCTGCGAAAGAAAAAATAATTCAATGATTAGCTAAATAATAAATAAATGAACGATTAAAATAGTTGTTTATATAGATCGTGTTTAAATTGTTCAGGAAAAAGCTTAGAAAATAAAAATCTATTTTCTTCGTTGACTTTCTATAGCTACGAATATAAACGTTACAAAGTAATACCCGTAAATTTCTTCTTTTTTTTTTCTTTTTCTTTTTTATCTAAGAGTGCAAAAAATATCTGATATGGCGTGTAAACATTTTTACACGAAAGAGAATATAGACTCATCGATGTTACAATAGGTTCGTGACAAGGTTCGATCGATCGTTGGCTATCGTGCGACGTGTGATCGCATTAAAGTATTATATACAGAGGAACGAGTAAAATAACATTATCAGTGACCTTGCTTGTAAACGTGATAAAAAATTCTTACAAAAAACTACCATATACATACATATATCTATATATATATATATGTAAAATGTTAAAACACTTTACATGGATTTAATATGGATTAAAACTTACTGAAGTATCTGAGATGGTAATCCGATTACGTGAGAAAATCCTAATATAAAGTGTGAGTCGATTGTTAGAGGTATATACTCTATCTCAGTCAAAGGACAACTGATCATTGAAACGCAACTTGTAAACACATTATTCGGGTGATATACATATGCGAGAAAAATATGTAAACATTAGTCGAATGATGATATCACCGTAATCGTCAAAAAATAAATTGAACGTTAACAGTGTATTCATATATCTACGCATCTGATTATTATTATCTTATTTTAATTTTATTTTTATTATAAAATATAATAAATATACATATACACACAAATAAGGTATATAATGTATATAATTAAAATAAAATTATAAATTTAGTAAACATATAGAATATTTCTTAGATACAATATTTGTATTGTAAGATAAAAAGTGATTGGAATTTAAAAAAATTTCGTGCTTTTTTAGAATAGCATTCTGATTAATTTGTAATGGTATATTAACAAAAATCAATATTACCATTACGATAAAGAAAGTGTGTCGTTTGTTATAAAATCGACGTTGACTAGTTGTAAATAATCTCAGTATCTTCAATGTACAAGCTTTAAATTTGAAAAGCGTTAATCTAGAGAAATCCCGGATTTCGTTTCATTATCTTGCTTATGACAGGTTTCGAATCACGATTGAGAGAGGAAACATTGAAATAAAAGACGAAGAATATATGTATATTCGTCAAAAAAAAAAAAAAAAATAGAACAAAGAGAATAGTGTTTTTAAAGGTATACGTAAAAATTTGCACATATCCTAATGAGACTTTTGTTCTTCTATTTTTATAGATTACTTTTTTCTTTTCCTTTTTTCCTTTTTATATCGAGAACGAGAAAGAAGTAATTATCGATTAAAAAGACGAAAAAGAAGAAAAAAAAGGGAAATCTTCATTTTGATCGAACAAATTAAGAACTCGAATGAACATTTTTTTTTATTATCGGTGGGAAAATATTAAAACAAATTTTCTCGTTCAAATTGCGAAGGAACTTACGTGATTCCAGGAACAGCAACCGCAGGAATCATCGCAGTAGAATTCATCGATATCACGATGAGCGACGTTCACGCGACGTTCGAGAGAATTTGCCAAAGGGTTTCTACGTTGTCTAGTTCTTCGTTGTTTTTTAACCCTGGCGGGAACCGCGTACATGTAATCACTAAATCGACGTCTCGAGTGACGTACGATTGAAACCCAGTCGATCATGATTTTAACGCGTTGTTAAACCTTTCGCGATATCCAACAAATATTTTCAACCCAATTGTCCAATAAATAATGTCCAAATGTTTCTTACGTTAAATAATATTTAAAGTAATAACACTGTGAAAATTTTTTTTTTAATATCTTATGTTTGAACATATAAAATTAATACCATTGATATTTTCTAATTAAAGATATCGAATACTTTATATTTAAATAAAAGTGTATGTTATAAAATATTATATTGAAATAAATAACGCTACATTGTACTTTTAATTAGGAATACATTTTAATATCTCATATCTAAGTAAAATGAATACTAATAATTTTAATATTAAAAATATCCGTCATTATTGGCTTTACTCATTGTCAATGTAAAAATCTTGTAAAAATTAATCTCCTAATGAAAAAAAAATTTTTCACGAAAGATTCAATTTTGAAAGGGAAAAATTAAATAAAGAAATAAAGAAGAAGAAGAAGAAAGGAATGAGAGAAAGCATTGATTTAGTAAGTAAGAAAAAAAAAAGAAAATGAAAAAGAGGTCGTCGCATTTAACGAGGAATAGTTCGAGAAAATAAGTTGAAAGTAAAGGGAAAAGCTACTAAGTAGCCTTTCCGAAAGGTAATAATATCGGCAAAAGAATTGCAAAGATACGTCACGAATGTAAACCCACTATTCCCTTCAGTGTTCTTTTCTATTCCACAGACGTTGTGAGCCGAGTATCGAACGATATCTATTTTCTTAACTACGACGAGTTATCGGGGCTGAGGAAAAACTATCACCTCCTATTCTTTCATCTTTTTCAAAAGAGGTTGGTACTACTACTACTACTACATTCGTCGACCAGTTTCTTGGCACGCGGAAAAGTGGCAGAGCCAAACACAAAGGCAATGGAAAAAGAAACGAAGTGTCTTTTTTCCTCCTTTTTTTTCCTTTCTTTTTTCTCTATCTCTATCCAATATCAACCTTCTTTCTTTCTTTCTTTCGTTCTTTCGAATGTGGGTTAAATAGGAGCTCGAGAAATAGCTGACAATTATTATTTCGTTCTCCTTCGCGTACGTCCTCCAGATTTATTTCTACGTTTCTCCTAAAAGGGTGAAAAAAAGAAAAGAAAAAAAAATAGAGAGGAAAAAATTGAAAAGAAGATAAAACAACAGTAACAACAAAAAAAAGGGAAGAACAAAACGGTAAATAGAAAAAAAGGGTTGCACGTATGTGAGCTTTATTTGTATTTTAACAACCCTAATGTTCTTTTGAATATTTCACGAACGCGTGTATGTGTGAATATACGCGCCACTGAGTGTTTTAATTTGTGGGAGATTTCAATGTAATTTCCTTGGATTACACATACACATACACATACACACACACACACACAAACACATACACGGTTGTTCTAAAAATATCAAATAACGAGTTGACATGCACGTTATGTTTACACGTCGTCATCATAAACTCGAAAAAAATAGATTCGTTCTGTTGCTGTATCTTATATTCCATCGATAAATACACGTTCGATTATCATTAATTTCATTCAAGAAATAAATTCAACTTTTAAACGAAACATTGTTCGTCAATTAATTCCGTATACAAAGAAAACATTTTTTTCTGAATTATTTTTCATTAATATTTTTTAATTGAAATGACACGTCAATCAATTTAATTTAATATTTTACATCAATCCGTAACAAATTATTTCGTCCACATGCATGGCGCACGTGCACACATACATACACACACGTAAGAAAATCGCGCAAGTTAAATGGTACACACTGTGACAAAAGTATTTGCAACATTAGTAAAATTTTATTTTCAATCGAATAAAGCGTTAAATCGTTTAGTTGAATAAGAAAATAAAGAAAAGAAAAAAGAAAATCAAATATAAGAAGGATGTAGTGTTGGGGTAAGGGGGTAGAGGGAAAGAAGAAGAAAGTAATTAAGATATTATTAAGAGAAATAAATAAAGAGCGTACGAGTTTCTCTTTCGAAGGGATAGACGGCGTAGTCGGTACTACTGTGCCTCGAGAAAATCCTCGACGTCGAAGTAGTCGACATTGGTGTCAGTGGCGTCTCGATGCTTCTTCCAAAGCATTGCCGTCGCTACCATCGCGGTCTAATTCCAACACCTAATACCCTCCTCCTTTGAAACGAGCTCCTTTTACTAAAACACACCACCTTAATGAACCCCTCTACTGATCCTACTGAATCGAACACCATTTTTCCTCTATATTTCAATTTCAAAAAAAAATTTTTTTTTCACTAATTTTTTTTTATTACCTCTTTTTATATCGTCAGTATTATCGCAATATTAAAATAAATTATTATTTTCTATCTGTGTGTATATTTTGTTAAATAATAATTTATTATTTTTTTTTAAATACATGATTGTAATAAGTATCTATTTACTATTACATCGAACACCATTTTATCCAATATTTCAATTTCAAAAGATTTGTTTCTTTTTTTTTTCTTTTTTATATCGTCAGTATTGTCGATAAACTTTTCTTTTTTCTTATCAATATTAAAAATAAATCGTTATTATATATCTGTATATTTTTGATTCTTTATAAATAATAATTAATAATTTGTTTTAATAGACGATAAATATCTCTCATTAAAAGAAAGTTGTATTAAAGTTAAATATTCATACTTTTTTTTATTATAGATATTAATCACTTATTTAAACTACTGATTTAATATATAGTAGCAGGTACTTTGTTTATTTTTTATTTACTTTTTTATCTCCATAAAAATGTTATATTTTTCATAACGACTTTTTAAATTAACAAACGTCAGCTTATTGAAATACCAATTTTGCAAATTTTGAAATCGAAGCGATATATTTAAAAAGATTCAATCGAAGTCCGTTTAATTAAGTTTCGATTTAATGAGACGACTTGAAATCCGGATCGATCTTCGATAAAGTCATTGGAATATTCATGAATCTTTGTTAAGAGGGGGTGAATCTCCTCTATGATTATTCTTTCTACCAATGCAAAAGTTCACGTATAAATCCATACATTTATATGGATGAAACTCGTTGGTTAGTTGATCGAGAATTTTGATGATTCGAATCGTTTGGATAAGAAGACACACCATCAAAAGATAATGCAGCAAAGGTCGGTACGTTAGGAATCGTATATAATCGATGGAGCACTCCGTAAATTTTGTAAGAATTTATCAACGTGGAAAGAATTCATAAAAAGCTAACGCTCGAAAGGAATAATTTCGTTAAACAAAAAGAGTAACCCCAAAAAAAAATAAAAGAAGTGAAAAATGCACAAAATCCTAATCCCAATCTTGCATTTGGACGCATGCGCAGTGGTGTAAAAAATGAATGCGGTGAAGTATAGAAAAGACAGCGAAGAAGAATTGATTCTTTCCAAAGGAATTTTGAAAAAAAACTTCAGAGAAAAAGTTCGAAAGAAGAAAGAAGAAGAACTAGAAGAAAAAAGAAGAAGAAGAAGAAGTAAAGCTCTATAGATGACAGTTAGTTAGTAAGAAGTGAGTGCACGTGTGTGAGTCAGTTTTTAGTCACGTACACGACGTTTACGAACCTGATTCTCATCAATGGGACCTGGAACATCAGGTCTGCTCGACCTGCGGCCGTAAATGTTCAACAGAGTCTGGGTCAACGGACAGGCTGATGCAGGACCGTCCTGAAAACGATCAAATTGTTTCAAAAAAAAAGACAAAAAAGAGAAACACAACAGATACAACAATAACGTTGAGCATCATCGATCGCGGAAGAATTTTCTCGCGAGTGCTATAATTTTGTTGATTTTTAAATCGATTCGTTGAAATATGTTTCCTTTGGCGTTAGCAAAAAATAAAATAAATATAAATAAAAAAAACAAGAAACGTTGCAAAAAAAAATAAAAAATAAACGATATATAGAGAGAGAAAATGCAATAGGATTTTTTCCGACAGTAGTATAACCGTACGTATGCGCAGTAGCAGTAGTAGGGAATGACCGACTGTGGTCGGACAGTGGCTGGTAGATGGATAGACGCCAGGTGCCAGTAGTTACGGTCAGACTATGCCGATGAAAACATGGGCGTAACGCAGCCAAAACCGTACACGTTCATAGAAAATAAATAATTATTCGGAGTACACGATGAAAATTATTAATCACCTACGTCCGTTCCTTTAACAAAGGTTTAGTAAACATGGCGAACCATTGGTTTACGCATTTCCACACAACGTATTGAGTTATAGAATTATTAAAGAGAGGATCGGAGGTCTGTATGGACGACAGGGAAACGTTTAACATGCTCCTAAATTTGGACCATTGCCAACTGTTAACAATCAGAATTCCACTTCGATTCGGAAACCAATTGCTAACAAACAATACCGTGCCAAAGGTATTCTCATCTTCCATCGTCATCCTCATCCTCATCCTCATCGTCGTCGTCATCGTTGTCTTTATCGTTGTCGTTTGAAAATATTTCGCGAATACGCATTTCGATTTATTTACTTCGAACTTCAGCTATCTAACCTTCCCTCACCCCTTCTCTTCCCCAACCCACGGTTTGAAAGCTATTTCTTATTTATCGAGACTTCTTACGTAAAATCCTACTCGAACTTTTTCGAATAGGTCGCGTAGTATTCAAAGTCGTCTTGTATTCCAACTTGAGTTTCTTCAGTCTGATATTCCAAATACACGACGATGACATAACTTTATGGCTTTTTCCCTACCTTTACAGTATTTGTCTATCTACTATTTTCATATATCATATCAACGATGAAAACGGACTTTTATCAAATGTATGTAATGTAGTATACCTATACACATATAAGGAGGATTCTTCTTTTATTTCATGTATTAAAAAATTGAATGGTACAAAAATGAAAATCAACAGGGAGATATTAAAGCAATGATTTTCTTTTAAATCCAAAAAAAGAAAAAGAAAGAAAAATATTTATACCATGTAAAATTTTTCTTTTCCTGCGGTGGACTAACTATCACTGCCAACATGAAAGTTGGAAAAAGTTTTTCTAGAAAATTATGAAATAGTAGGAGTATTTTCTCTCTTTTTCTGTTTCTCTTTCTCTTTCTCTTTCTTTTTCTCTTTTCTATTTTACTAACGCAAGAGAAGAAATGCTTTTCAACCATGGTTTCGTACTAGCCGTCACCATTCCCGATGAGTTTTTAATGCAAATGTAAAGAAGAAAGGAGAGGCACAGATCGACAAGGTTGGTTGGGCACGTTGAAACGCACCTGTGCATCGAAAGTTCATCATGAATAATTCCGTTTCGCTCGCTTAACGCGGACTGCGAACAAACGCGTGCAACTCGAGAGAGTCACCGAACGAGTAATTGACTTTGGATCCTGTGACTCTATTTATTAGTACGAAAGTTCGCCCTCGCAACCCGACAACGAAAAACATGCTTTCTCCTTGTATAGAAAATACGATTAAGAGAGGCTTTATTTTCTTTTGACACGCCCAATTTATCAAGCCAATCTAAAGAAGAACAATTTATTTTTTCAATTTTTCTACCTCTCTCTCTCTCCTTCTTTTTTTTGGAAAAATTTTGATATATAAAATAATGGATTTTTTATCTGCTAAAAGATATTAATTATTTGAATAGGATGAGAACGATCTAAGATATTGAAATTAATTGTAAAAAAAAATATCGATACTAGAGTTAAGTTTTAATTGGAATTAATAGTAGAGTTAATAAATCTAGTTATATGGATTAACAACGCTGTGACATATGTGTCATAGAAGAAGCAAATTTTCGATTCCCAGAAGTCTCGAGATAACTTTACTAATTGCTCTTGCGTAAGAGAAAATGTTCCGCTCTAGTCACGAATTTTGCATTCTAGATCAAATTAGTGCATCCTTGATGACAATTAGATGAGATAACTTGAGAGTTTGCTCGCGAAAGGTGCTGAGACCTCTTTCATTTCATATAGAAATAGAGAAAGGAAAAGAGAGAGAGAGAGAAAATTATCTTTATCACCGCATATTATCCAACCTCATGGGTAATGAAAGAATAATATTCGGTGAGCTGATAAGAGGAGTAATGTGACTACTCTGCCATAATGAAAATTGTTGTTTGCACAAAATATATGTATATATACATACCTAACATTGATGTTATCAAATTTCGTATGAATTTTTTATGTACGTTACGTTTACTTTTTTTTTTATTTTACACGAAGATTTATATAACAAAAAGATTCTCGAGTAGTTCAGTTAGTTACTTCGTTTATTACTTTCACCCAAGCAGAGAGACATTACCAGTGAGTTTTTTGAGCTTACGAAAATAATAGTGCGTTTCGGCTACGGATTAATATTATATGATAACAATATGCAAACAAATCTGACTTTACATAAGGTTTTATAAAATATACATATATATCTTTTTATTATGCGAGACCATTACTTTAATATAAAAAATAACATAAATAATTATATAAATATTATAAATATAGATATTAATGCGATGATGAGACAGGAATATCGAATCGTATTGCGCGTTATTAAATAGCCTGCTCGATGGTATAGGAAGTATTATATATATATTTAAATATTTAACTCTCGTTCGAACGTTCAAGAGTGTGATCGATCCCATCATTATTGAATATAACGAAATAGTAATAAAATATAATTAAATAATAATATAACAAAAAGAAAAAGAATGGTTATACGAGGTAATCTGAAATGAGTCACAATTAATTTTAATTATCGTTTTTGTTGGTTTATCAAAAAGAAATGAGGTACTTCGATCGAGCGTTTTTTTTACTCTGCTTTTCCTTATTTTATGTTTCTTTGACTTGTCAAACGCAGTTTCGAAACTTGAGAAAAAAGAGAGAGAGAGAGAGAGAGAAACATACATACAGACAGACAGAGAAAACAGGTACTTTCAGAAGATCGTGCATTGCGACTCCAGGGCACGTAGTCCATTCTCTCTAGAGGCGCTGAACGTATATATCCTGTTCGATAACTCGAAAACTCTGCCTGCGGGAACTAAGATTTTCAATGGCAATGGCAGAGATACATCTGACAAGAACACAGTTTGCTATCTTACGCAATATACCTCTATAACCATTTCGACAATTAATTTAATTATTCTAATTCACCTAATTAGTCTAAATTATTCTAATTTCATTTGTAATTAATCTATTTTTTAAACTAATCTTATATATATATATATATATATATATAAGAATGGTTACACGAATAATGGATAACATATTAGGTTGATACAATTATTATTTCGTTTAGATGGAAGAGGATTTTTGTAGGAAAAAAATATTTTTAAGAAGTTCAAGTTATTGTTGTAATTAATAAAAGAAAACAAAAAACAAGAAACAAACAAAAAGTAATATTATGAATATCGTGTAACATATTCATACGTAAAGATGTAACGAACGTTAGTAATTGGTTGTATTAAATTACAGTAATGAAAACATCGATTACAAATGTGGATATACCAATAAATATTTATTTTAAGTAATATTTTTTTTGTCCAAATATATAATCAACAATTTTTTATTATTAAAAAAAAGAAACAAGCAAAAAATCAAATTTAAAATTATTAAAATTTTTTGTTGAATGAAAAACCGAGGGGTTATTTTTTCTTTTTTTTTTTTATTACGAATCGAAGGCTTTGAAAAGTCAAACTGGATTCTAAAACATCCTCTAGCAATGAGATTTTTCAAGAGAGAAAGTAAAATGAGAAGGTTTACTCTTAACCCACTACTCCCTTACCCTTACGATACCCTTCGGATTCGTATAGAAAGGCGAATTGGAAAGGTTATATGTTTGAAATGAGCACGTTTATGAGAGGTTCCAAGGATACTTCCGTTTTCATATTCTTCTTACTATCTTTTCTGTTTCTCTTTCTCTCTTTTTCTTTTTTTTCTTTTTATTTTTTGTTCTATTTCTTTTCTCTTGTACGTGTTCGAATAACGCGGCATGTATAAGTGTGTACATAAATCCCTGACTTTAACATGAAATTCGTGTACGAAGAATTCAATTCCTTGCGAGCTTTAACACCAAGGATAATCCTCCTTCGTTTATATAAAGTTATTAGCTTAATCTTCAAACATAGAGAGATAGAGATATAGAGAGAGATAGAGAGATAGATAGAGAGAGAGAGAGAGAGAGAGAGAGAGAGCGAGAGCGAAAAAGAGAGAAAAGTTAGGCGAAGCCCGTTTGGAAATTGAATTAACGCAAATAGTGATAGTTGAAAAGTACTGAAAAAATATGAAAGAACTTTTTCACGAAGATATCGGATTAAATAAACAGTATTGATAGTAAAGAATGTGAAACAAAATTTAAAACCAGATAAAAACCTACAACAAATCCATGGCAAAGATGTTATTAATAATAATATTTTTATATAAGAAAGCATGTTTTCGACCAATTAAATTTTTCATGATCTACCGAATAGAATTTTGAATATTTTATTGGTCTCCGAGTCTCATTATTGGTCACTGATTTTCCTTATTGGCCTCTCGAGCCTCCTTATTGACCCTCGCGAGCCTCCTTCTTCGTTACCAATTTTCCTTATTGGCCAACGAATCTTGTTTTTTATTTATTTATTTATATATTTTACCGAAACAAAACTTTTTAACAAATAGATTTAAGAGAGAAAATGTAGTTTTCTGATTCGTTCGAATGTTTATAAGTTTAAAAATCCATTA